ATAATTTGTTTGGGAGAAATTTGAAAATCCTTAATGTTATTTCAAAGGTTTACATCATCCTTAAAAGAGGTTTTATGTAATATTTATAAGAACATTATTCTCAAATATTGAGTTTTTTTTTCTATATTGCCATTGTGTCAATTCATTTTGTATTCTTTCCAAATATAAAACACTTTAACTTTTATTTTCAAATTGTAACATATCTGAGATTAATCAAATAATTAGCATTTCAACATACCCTCCACCCCCCAAAAAAAACTCTTTTGCAAGCTCTTGATTCTCTATGACTCCAGTGGGGAATTTAATATACCATCAACCTCCACTTCTGAAAGGTTGGTTTCCTTTGGAAACTTATGACATTATGTTATTTTCTAAGTCCTCTCATGACTTAGAACCCTAATATTAAAAAAAGAGATGGAGAAGTTCTCTTTCTGTGGCATATGGACACATTTGAGTTATTAAAGCTACCTAAATTACATCTAAATTGCAAATATTTATACATCAGTCTTAAATTCTCAAGCCTCTCTTGTCTTTTCAGGTGTCTACTATTATCATGGCAGTTGAGTTCCAGCAGGATTATGACATCAGAGACTGTGCTGCTGTCAAGGTCAGTGCAATGCTGAAAAATCTGCATATTTAAAAACTAAATCTGGTATCTTGTGCAGTGAAGCAACAGACCCATGGAACATCTTTTGTGTGTGTAGGATGATATTAGGTGTGATGGGAGATACGTACGCCCATGGCCTGACCCTCAGCAGACTAACTTACATTTAATCTGAGAAGATAAAATTCATGTTCAGGAAAGGCATCCCTTATGACTATGCACAGTAATAAGCTCCAAATGAGTGGGCTGATGAGGACTAATGAAATCAGAAGAGAAAGTGATCCCTGTGGACATTTTCCAGAAAGAGGTGGTACTTAAACTGGGTCTTTAGGAATGGGTAGTTTGTACAGGTGGGACAGGGGGCAATGGTATAAGAAGGTGGCATGAAATAAGATGGGAGTAGAAGAAAGAGGGTAAGGCAGTGAGGAGAACAGAATGCAGATCAAGAAGTTTTAATTTTTTTTGTTGTTGAAAACACTGGGAAATTAGATTGATGCTAGGTGAAGGAGTTTGTACATTTTTTGATAGGCAAGAGGGCATTTTGAAAAGTTCAAGCAGGGAAAGTGATGTGAACCAAGGAAAGTAGAAGGAAGATTCATCTTGAGACAGACTCAGAGAAGCAGCAGATGGTATTGAAAGACAAAACAGACCAGTTAGGCATCTTCCTTTGCAGAATTCATTCGTTTGTCCATTTTGTAAGTGGTATGTCCCAAGGGTCCCTAAGGCACTGGGGGTTATAACAGTGACAAGGTACAAAACATAGTCATTGTCTGCATAGAACTTACAGTCTCGTAGGAAACAAAGACAAGTAAATAAGCAATTACAACACCATTGGGCAAGAACTATGACAGGCAAAATGCAAGTTTTATGCAAGAACAAGGGTATTATGAGAATAACGATGATGATGATGGAAGCAGCTAACATTTATTGACTCTTTCATGAGCCAGCCACTGTGCTAGACGTATCACATATGTTATTTCAGTTAATACTTAAGTGACTTTGTAAGGTAGGTACTGTTATCATAGTCATCATACAGAGAAAGAAATTTGGGCATTGAGTAACTTACCCAAGTATACATGGTTAAAGAAATGAAATTTAAACCCACAAGTGTCTGGGTTCAGTATGCTTAACCATTATGCATATGCCTAGGCATTTATAGAAATAGTCAGAAGGGGTACTGGTTTATAAAGAAAATGGTATCTTTTAGTTTAGATATTTTTAATCCAAGCTAGCTGTAAGATGTGTCCTATGCTAAATCGAAATCAAAAGACTGGACTTGAAGGGGGAAATGTATATTTAAAAAAAAAAGCAAAGGGCTAGGAAATGGATTTGCAGGAACTTCCAACATATAAAGTGAAAGATGAGGAAGGAGGAGATATCTACTAATAGATAATATCTTTGCTTTGTGGCCCAAGAAACAAATCAATCTTTCCACAAAGACTTAAGAAGGTGGTTGACCAGAAATGTTACAAGGAGATTGAGGCAAGTAAGAACCGAGAAAGCCACTGGAAAGCCTATTTGCAAAGTAACTCTTCTAATGACAAACTGTATAGTATTGTGCCATTTTAATAGCATTCCCAATTTAACACATGAAAAAGTAAAAACTTCAGAGAAGCTTATGAAGTTTTCAGGAATGTCGATAATACTGGTACAATAAACCGTGTTCTGGGTAAACAGAGTTCCCAACTATGGAGAGGTTTGAAAATCTACCAGAAAATAAATAAAAGCGATACTGATGCAACCTGCATCAGGAAGAGCCCAGCCAGTGTTCGGTGTGGAGACTCTTACGTCTCCTGCCTCAGTAGCCGACAGAACCTTGGCCTGAAAACAGTCTGGACAGTGACAGATGCCCCTGCTAAGTCACGCCTTCCCTTTCCTTTCTCTCCTGCTTGGTGGCTGGAATTGTCATGACCTATCTTGGACCATGTGGAGAAGGGCAACATCCTGGAAATGGCAGAGTAACACCAAAGAAGGAGCATGGGCCCCTGAGGCCAGACTTTTATATCACTTTCTGGTCTACTTTGATCATACCCTGGTGCTTGGATACCGCTGAAATAAAAATTATTTTCTAACTTGGTATTTCCCAAATTTTAGAAGTATAGGATTCTACAATTTCATGTCAATGAAAACAGGTGGGAGGGAGGAGAAAATAATTTTCATTTTGGATGTAAACATGACCTTACAATATATTTTCTTTATCAGCCCCTTTGAAGGCTCTTGCTCTGGGTGTTACTGTTTAAACATTCCTTTTATTCCTGTGTTCATTTATTGAACAAACACTTTAGGTGCTAGAGTTAAAATAGAAATCAAAACCACAGAGCTGGCCTGTCAGTCTATGTGGCTCACACTTGTAATCCCAGCACTTTGGGAGGCCAGACCAGGAGGATCACTTGAGCCCAGGAGTTCGAGACCAGCCTGAGCAACATAGCGAGACCCTGTCTCTATAAAAAATAGAAAAACTAGCCGGGTATTGTGGTGTGCACCTGTAGTCCCAGCTATTCAGGAGGCTAAGGCAGGAGGATCACTTGAGCCTAGGAGATTAAGGCTACAGTGAGATACAAGGATGCCTCTGCACTCTAGTTCGGGTAACAGAGCAAGACCCTGCCTCAAAAAAAAAAAACAAAAAAAACAAACCATAGAGCTTACAGTGTAGTATTTCATAAGGGCTGCATCAATTTCAAAATGTTCTGCAATCCTTTTCTTCCTTTAGGTCATTCGTAGGCCCTGGCACAGAGGCTGGCATTTCTACGATGACAGAGAAATTATTTATTTCAGGCCTTTTGCTTGTGATACAAAACTTGAATGGGTGTGCCAGATTCCAAAAGGTAAGTGGTAAATATCTCTTTACACAACCATCTCATGTTAACATCGTGAATGCTAAGCTAAAAATATCTAAAGGACCAGATTGGTCTATAATTTTAATTTCTAAAAGCTATGAAGATGCAATTAATACATTAAGCCTTCCCCTACCTGACTTCCACTCCTAATAGAAGGCTAACTTACTGAAATTTGGTGATATCTTATTCTTTGATCATGGAAGAATTTGCATAGAAGATAAAATTTAATGCTCACTTAGGGATATTTGATTTTGGAATGAAAAATTATTTTAAGTAAAAGGATAAAAGTAGTCAAGAGAATCATTTCAATTTTTAAAATTTTTTTA